CATCTATAAATATCTCTGCATTTTGTGTGCATGTCTTTATAAACCTGTATATGACATCTGTCAGATCCTTACAAGCATTCAAGTGAAGTAGATCTCAGTTGTTTACAAGCATGAAAATAAATAGATCTCAGATAGTCACAAGCATGTATGTGAAATAAATCTGTCTGTTATAAGTGTGTCTGTAAAGTACATAGTAAATCTCAGAAAGTTACAAGCATGTGTGTGAAATAGATATAACTGTTATAAGTGTGTCTGTAAAGTACATACATAGTAAATCTCAGAAAGTTATGAGCAGGTGAGTTGTGAAATAGATCTCAGATTGTTACAAACATTTTTTTGTAATAGATCTGACAATTTTAAACATGTCAGTGAAGTGGATCTCAGATGATCTCAAGCATGTATGTAACATAGATCCCTGATTTGAAAATCGTTAAAAGCATAAGATTTACCTAATAAATGCCATATCAAACTTTCAAGGGTAAACAGGAAACTTGTTATGTATTGACAAGATTGCGTCTTCTATAAAAGTTTTATTTTCATTTACTGTCTCGACAGGCCAATTTGCTCATCAATTGATGTTAAAAATATCACTAAAACTTCAGCCTCTAACTATTACATAACTTGCTCTATCATAAACTCCACACATTCTTAGACATGGCTTCGTAAAAACCAGAATTCTTCGCCCTAGTTGCTATTTTACCATGCCATTATAAAATCTATTTATATCAGAAATTACTAGCAATAAATGTCCATTTAATAATTGATTTTCAGAAAAATTCAAAAATAGAATATGAGACAGGAAAAAGGTAGTTTTCTATCAATTTTATTTGGTTTCAAGTCAATTCATTTTAACTCAAAACAGATGTTAATTCTGTATTTCTCAAATCCCCTGATAGATGTGTGTGTTTCCCATCAAATATAACATTATCAAGGATAATAAAATTTGATATTCACAAAATCATATTTTACAGAGATAGGCCGTGTTAACACTGAACAATCTTATCCTTCCTTCAAACTTAACCTGTCAGAAAAAATAGGAAAAAATAACTCCAAAAACTTTTTGAAGAAAATTTTGAGTTCAAGATTGTAATAGTCAGGCCTCAAACATGCATATAACAAAAAAATTGCTGGTTTTCAAGTTGAGCCACACCAACTTAGAATAAAAAGTACATAAATATTGTCTTTATCTCGACTCTGATCTTCACTTTAGACTCCTCTACCTCTGTACAATATGTGTATCAAGAAAGGCATGCTGGGAAACATGGCTGACCACAGCAATAACGAACAGATTGAAGTAGGGACATATGTGGCAGGAGCGATACAGGAGTAGAGGCAGGGTGAAACACACCTTAAAAACACCCAATCCCACTCTGCCATTATGTCAAAAATATGTAGTTAACAAAGTTTTTACATTTTCAATCACATTACACACCGCAGAGGTCCAGTCCATTTTTTTCACCTTGTTTCAAAAAGCCATGAAAAACCCTGTTGTGGCAAGATGGTAGTATTTTATTAAGTGAATGTAATGAGAAACCATCTGATACAGAAGTAAATAAATAGCTCTGGGACTCGGGCTACAAGCCTTGTCAGTCTACAGCTAACATCTACATACATCTCCTATTGTAGTTTACTCAGACTTTAAACAGTCCCTATGTAGACAACAGCTCCACTTGTCAGGGTTCAAAACGATCGGTATTAAGAACGAAGAGTTAATGTACCAACAGTTTTCATATATTAGATCCAAAAAAAATAAAAAAAAATATGCAAAGTTTGAAAGTGAAGGAAGAACATGGCCTCTGCTGTAGTAACACTGGCACACCTCTCACGAAAACATATAAATCATTTCTCTCCACCAAAGATAAAAATGAAATCAGATGCAAGACTTGAAATGAAGGAGAGAATTTCCCAATTTTATAATAATGGAGTGTCGGCGCTTCATGTCCCCTTGTTTGAAGACAGCCAAGTTGTGACAACAGCGGTTTAATCACATTGTACTATATTATCTTTCAGGGAAAAAGGTTTTTATGTTTTTATTATCAGGTGTTTGGGGCTGGCTTCGAGTATGACACTGATAGCGGGCAGAATCCCAACAGAAGCCAAGAACAAAAGTGTTGGACATTATGAAAATCATCAATCATGCTTTTGTCTCTCCAAACTGTTTGATGAAATATTTCTATAATTATTCAAAATGAAATTGATGAAAGATTTCTATAATTATTCAAAAGGAAATTGATGAAAGAAGAAAAAAACCAGAAAAATTGTGACAAACGAAAAATTAAGAACAATAATGGAAAGAAAAAATAAACAAATAAAAAATAACATCGAAGAGATAACGAAGGTAAAAGAAAGACAGCTTAAATGGGACAGAATCGCAGTTCATCTGAACATTGACTCTTGATGTTAATGGTACCGTTCTATAAAACATTGAGTGTGGGATTGTAAGAGATGGCAAACACGAATAAAATAATAAAAATAGCCAGCTCACAACTAATCCTAATATATGTCACATAATTCATATTTTTTCTTGGGTTTATTTTAATAACATGTCAAAAATATTGAAATGTTGATAAAGGTTTTCTCAAATATCTTGCAACGAAAACTTCTCACCACACAGAACCTGCCGTACCAAACCACTTACGCAGTGGCAATGTACATAAAACAAGAGCGCATGGCTTATTTCAGACCAGGTTTCCATCTTTTCCGATAGAAATCTAGATTTTGCGATATATTTCTGAAATATGGCATTTGTAATGTGGATATCACATCCTGCAATCATATTTCTGAGATACAAAATTATAATTAATATATTTCTGATAGTTCCGAGCCTTCCTTATAATACTTCAGTCATGAGTACCAGACAGCAAAAACAGACCGGACCATAAGCCTACACATTCCGAGTGGGAATTTAAAAACTTTGTTTTGCATTAAAGAATGTAATTAGAACGTCTCATTAACAACAATAAAAATAGACTCATTTAAGATCGTTTTTCTACATGTAATTAAAACGTCTTTAGATTAAAAAAGACTGGTACAGTTTTTGCACTTATGAACAATTTTTATTATTCATCCTATTCCAGCAATAATTTCAGGCTATTTTCACCCCCACAACTCATTCACCCCTGAAATTTCATAATAAACTATATTCCAACATTTGAAGTGGAAGAGTTCAAATGTGTCTTCAGGGGTGAATGAGATAAAAGAGGAGTTTTATAAAAAAAAATATCATTGTTATTATAAAGAAGCCAGCTTAAAAACAAACAATGAAATTATAAGTTTACATTCTGTTTTATAACTATTGATAATTTATTTGTAACTTTGTAAAGACTGAATGCAAAGTCAAGTGATAAAGTTGAAAAAAATAATCCCGGAGAATCAGAAGAAATTAATCGGGTTACACACCTGACAATAGAAGTGGTGACCCCCCAATGGACCCCCGGCCTAGTGGTGACCCCCCAATGGACCCCCGGCCTGTAGAGTACATCCTCCACCCACCAAACCTAGAGTCTGTTAGACACAAAAAACAGGTTTCCCGTCTCCTCAGCCATCCCTGTATTTTTGACCAACACTAATATCATTTTGGCCAATTTTTATAAACACAGTTAAAATCTACCTCTCTGCTCTGTTGGATAAAATGTTTTGTTTCAATTTCCATCAAATTCTGAAGTTCATGCATTTCTGTTACTTCTTAATTATTTGAATATAGTACGTTTTGGAATTTAAAAAATCTCATTGAATTCCATTTTTTTTAACGATTACTTTAACAAACTATATATTCTCAGGTATATAAAGATAATACTTATGGTACCTATATTTGTTTAAAAAGCTACAAGAATTTTTAAAACAATGTTCTTTTTATTCTTATTCATTTTTATTTCCTTATAGAACTCACCCAGCCCCCACTGCATTGTAGTTTTAGTTTTGGGTGGAGTCTGTTCAAGCCTTAATTATATATAAGTACACTGTAAAACATCATTAATCTTAGCAGTTTACCTCACATTATAAACTTATTGACACCATTGTACTTCTTAACCCACTTCTGTGTTTTTATCCAATAGATCACGAGAAACTTCACAATATAAATATGTACATCATGTGAAATAATGACTGGCCCCCTCACCACCTGACAGTGATTAACTGGCCTTCATACCAACACTGATTCTCCTTATCAAGGGAGCAGTCCTTATCTTTAAACCAGCTGCAAACCTCCACAAATAAATTAGTAAATCTACCAAACTTGACAGTCAAAACTGGAGAAATAGGTGATTTAAATGAACCCTAGCTAGGATTGGCTGTATCCCTGAGTCACACATGGTTGATAAGCTTTGTTTAATATGGTGAGTAAATTCTAATTAGAGGATCCCTAACAATGCCCCTACTTCCTGTAGTATATACACTGGTGTACCTCCCCGCTCACCTAGCCTGAGCGTAACTAATGATAGGTTTTATCCAATCTGATGGGCAATATATTTTTCCGGAGTCAGTGTCGTTTTTCTTCCTTTTTTTCTCCCTAACACAAACTTATGGTGTACATGTATGTGGATGGTTGGAAAATAACTGGCCCAACTGATCCGATTTCAAACAGGAATTTTGTTTATCTGTGTTTTCACATCCCGGAACTTTGACGGCAAATTAAATAAATTTCTAGACTGTTTATCAGGAAGGCAAATTATAATTAATTTTCAAAGGTTATCAAAAACTTTTCCCAATTGTTGTTATCTACTGGCGAAAGTGTCAAGAATTTAAAAAGGTGTTGTTTAACACAGTTTGATAAACTGCTTCTTGTAATATGAAATAGTGTCTGTGAGAATTATCTATATTCTACAAAACTGCTGATAATCCATGTATCTACGTATGATTAGTTAAATGGCTGAAGTGCAGTTGTTGTTCACTCGATTTCTCACCCCCTCTAGTGATTAGCTGAAACAGTCACTCTGATCAACTTCATGTTGGATATTCAAAGGATTTGTCTTGCCATTGGCTGAAACAGTCATGTGACCTACCTGCTATGGAAAAGGTAAGCACGGCCAGGAGATAAAGGCATTGTCCTATCCTCATGTTGTTCGTGCTCCAATGGTTCATGTTTGTTCATGAAGAGCACGGACCCCCGCGGCCAGGGCTTCCCACATTGAACCAGTGCCTCACGATTTTACTGGCAGTCTGAAACAAGCAAAAATAGCAAACAATAAGTCCACGTCACAGGATTCTGAAATCACCAATCTAAGTAAACCCATCAGTAGACAACAAATGGTTGTCCAAGTCACAATCTAAATCAACCCATCAGTATAGACAACAAATGGTTGTCCACAAGTCACAATCTAAATAAACCCATCAGTAGACAACAAATGGTTGTCCACAAGTCACAATCTAAGTAAACCCATCAGTAGACAACAAATGGTTGTCCAAGTCACAATCTAAGTAAACCCATCAGTAGACAACAAATGGTTGTCCAAGTCACAATCTAAGTAAACCCATCAGTAGACAACAAATGGTTGTCCAAGTCACAATCTAAGTAAACCCATCAGTAGACAACAAATGGTTGTCCAAGTCACAATCTAAGTAAACCCATCAGTAGACAACAAATGGTTGTCCAAGTCACAATCTAAGTAAACCCATCAGTAGACAACAAATGGTTGTCCAAGTCACAATCTAAGTAAACCCATCAGTAGACAACAAATGGTTGTCCAAGTCACAATCTAAGTAAACCCATCAGTAGACAACAAATGGTTGTCCAAGTCACAATCTAAGTAAACCCATCAGTAGACAACAAATGGTTGTCCAAGTCACAATCTAAGTAAACCCATCAGTAGACAACAAATGGTTGTCCAAGTCACAATCTAAGTAAACCCATCAGTAGACAACAAATGGTTGTCCAAGTCACAATCTAAGTAAACCCATCAGTAGACAACAAATGGTTGTCCAAGTCACAATCTAAGTAAACCCATCAGTAGACAACAAATGGTTGTCCAAGTCACAATCTAAGTAAACCCATCAGTAGACAACAAATGGTTGTCCAAGTCACAATCTAAGTAAACCCATCAGTAGACAACAAATGGTTGTCCAA